AACGATCGGAGTGTGAAGCGCATCCATGTTCCGGCGGCGAAGCTCTTCCCTCTGCTGCGGATTGAGGGGCTCGGGGAGATATTCCTCGTGGTCATGCGACGGATCGCCTCCGCCGTTGCCTCCCTCGGCGCCAGGAAAGCCGGGGGGAGCGTGCGGTCCATTGACCATCAGGACCTCCACCGCTGGATCACTACTGTCGCACTCGGATGCAGTCTCTGCGGAGCCAGTCGACAGGTCGAACAGGCCGTAGAGAGATTCGTCGGGCTCGATTGCCGCGACTTGGGCGGTGGTCGACTGGCGAGCCACCGCGTGTCTCACCCACCGCTGAAGCCTCGACAAACCGGAGTGCTTGCACCGGCGGGAAGCGGGGAGGGAGGATGACACGAAAACCGGCCAATATTGGGTCGACGGTTGCCGCAGAAGGACGCCGCAGACGCATGCTCGAAAGTGCGTAGCTTCGCAGACCGGAAGCGCATCCACATCGAGAGGAGCCTCCTGCAGCCAGGCAGAGTCGTCGGCGATGAACGTGAGCGCGCCGAGACGGATCTCATGGCCCTCAAGCAAAACTCCACCGGAAACCATGAAGATGGGAATCGAAAAGATTGCAACTTCTCCAATAAGTCGCTAAGACACCGGCCCCACGGTGGGCGCCAACTGTCGTGGTTCTAAGTCTGACAGTAGAATAGGGGGTAGGTATGGAGAGGCAAGATCCTAGCTATGGAGCAGTTGTGCACACAAGTGTTTTACGAGTTCAGGCCCTTCTCGGAGGAAGTAACAGCCCGACGTCTCGGAGCCCGGAGGCGGTCGACTGGATTATATGTGTGAGAGTTACAGGGGTGCGAACCCTTCTGCCAGTGGAGAGGGGTGGCTTATATAGACGATGCCAGAACCCCAACCTACCCACGTAGCAGAGGGTTAAAGTACATTAAGGCCAGACGTTACTGGTAACGCCTTACATAAAGTGTCATCATGACCATAAAGACTACTTAATTACAGACCGTTTTGATACAGAGTAGATCTTGAACTCCTGGTGGTCGAGTGAGTCTTCATGGTCGAGTGTCTTCAAGTTCGTCGAGTGTCTTCCAGTCCGTCGAGTGGAATCTCTCTTGGTCGACTGGGAGACGGTCTCTTCTGTAGATGTCCTTGGGGAGGGTACCTGGGTCAGGTACATGACCCTACCCTAGGTACATGACTTCATCATCCACCTCAACTCTTTCGGAGAAGGTACCGAATGCGCCGATCCCTCTTTGTTAGACTTGTTCAAGCTTGTGAGGCCAATTGTCGGTATTTTACGCAACGAAGAAATGATGCAGGCTTGAAGGGATTTAGTGCATATCAAAAAATCTCAGCAGCTATGCGGGTGATTGCGTACGGGGTTCCGGCTGATTATGCCGATGAGTATCTTTGCATTGGTGAAGATACAACAATTGAGTCAGTGCGTAGATTTGCCAAAGTGATCGTCCGTGTCTTTGGTCCCGAATATCTTCGGGCACCGAACGAGGATGACACAAAGAAATTGATGGCATCTAATGAGAGGAGAGGGTGGCCTGGCATGCTAGGTAGCATTGATTGTATGCATTGGACATGGAAAAATTACCGGAAGGCATGGCAAGGAATGTATTATGGCAAGTCTCGTGATGCCACAATTATGCTAGAGGCCGTAGCATCCGAGGATTTATGGATTTGGCATTGCTTCTTTGGTATGCCGGGCACTCCCAATGATATCAATGTGTTGCAACGGTCTCATTTGTTTGCTAGACTTGCTAGTGGTGATGCTCCTGTTTGCAACTACACAATCAATGGGCATTAATACACAAAAGGGTACTATCTTGCTGATGATATATACCCTCCTTGGTGCACATTTGTCAAGAGCATCAAAGAACCAAAAACTAAAAAACAATGTGAGTTTGGAAGAGTGCAAGAGGCAGCCTAAAAAGACAATGAAAGAGCATTTCGGGTTTTGCAATCTAGGTTTGCCATTGTTCGTGGTCCTGCTCGTTTTTGGGACAAGCGGACCTTGGAGAACATCATGACATGTTGTGTTATTCTTCACAACATGATTCTTGAAGATGAGAGAGGCATGAACTTGGAATTCTTCTATGACAATGTAGGCAGCTGTGTCAAACCTGCTAGAGACCCTAACCACATTAGAACTTTTATTCAAACATACAAGGAGATTGAAAATGCAAACACGCACTTTCAGCTTCAGGAGGATCTCAGAGCATCTCCAGCCGCGCCCCCAACAAGGCCCCCCAAGCGACTTTTTGGCCGCCGGCCCCAAAAACTCGGCCCAATCGCGCCCCCAAGGGCCCATTTTTCGCCGGCTCGGGCCGAAATTGACGCCGGCGGACCCAATCCAAACCCGGCGCGCTGGGGGCGCTCGGGGGTGCCGGGCAAATCGTTTTTGGCGTGAAAGCGCTGCGTGGCAGCCGCGTCAGCGACACCGCCCCCCTCGTCTTCCCGACGCCTCGGTTTCCCGCGGGGAATCAATGGCAAGGCTGCCGTCGGTCAGCTTTTCCATTGATTCCTCTCACGGGCAGCGCGCTGACGCGCGCCGACGCCTCCCCTCCCTCGGCTATATATGGTCTCGCTCGCCAACGTTGGAGTGCCACCCCAGCCCTCCCTCTCCCGCCGATCTCTTCTCCCCAGCCACTCCCTCTCCCCGATGGCTGAGCGTTTCCCCGGAGACGAGGCGGCGGCCAACGGCTTCGGCCGCCGTTCGCTCCGCGAACAGGAGTCCTGGCTCCTGTTCCAGGCGAACATCCCGGCGCCGCCGGACATGCGCGCCGGGCCGACGGGCTGGAGGATCAGCAATGGGGGAGTGCCCATTCCCCCGTTGCCCGACGCCGTCACCAAGCCATCCTACTTCGCCGACGAGGTCGAGATCGCGCGCGCCTCTCTCACCGACGCCGAGCGCTCCCTTCCCCAGTACGCCACCGACAACAACGCGGCGTGGGCGGCGTACTTTGAGCACAGCCAGCAGCAACGGCTGGCGTCCACCAACGGGGCGCCGGTGGTCGGCGGCACCAAGAACAGCGAGGGGCGCCACCTCTGGTGGGGCGCCACCTCTGGTGGGCGTCCCCGGCCGCACCCTCGACGGTGTGCTGGCGCACCTCGAGGGCGGCAACAACCCATCATTGGCGTACCCCCCGGCGAGGACGGCCGCCCCGATGCACCGCCGACGCGACGGGCAATGGGCGCCAAGAAGGTTCGGCTCCTCCTCCTCCTCTTCCTCGTCGTGTTCTTCCTCCCATTCCTCGGGCACTCCATCGATGCTCGGCGTCAAGGCCGAGCCCGCTGCGGAGACGCTGCTCGGCCGGCACACACGCAACGCCGGCATCGGCATCAGCGAGGGAGGCCGGCGCGCCTCTTCGTCGGCTCCTCCCCCGCGCTTTGTCAAGCCGAAGACGGAGCCGGGTCTCGCGCCGGTGAAGACGGAGCTGGGGTTGGCTCCGGTGAAGACGGAGCCGGGGCTGCTGGCGCCAGTGAAGGCGGAGCACGGTGGGGTCGAGCTCGACGACGACGCGGCCCTTGAATAGGCACGCCAAGACACCCTAAAGATGGCGAGGGAGCGCCAGCGCGCCGCCCTAGAGCGCTTCGCGCAGCGCCGCCGAGGCCGCGACGAAGGCGGCGTCGTCATCATCGACGACAGCGACGACGACGACGCGCCGTCGCCGCCGCCACCAGCCGGGGAGGGGTCCAGCAGGGGCGCCCGAGTCAAGGAGGAGAAGGCCGACGATGGCGGCGCCGACGGCGACTTCTCGGCCTTCAGCAAGTTTTTTTTGACTAGTTTTTATATGTAATGGCGTGTTTTAGCCCAAATTTGCGAATATAAAAGCCCATGTTTGCCGAAAAGTGGCGTGTTTCAGCCCAAGTTTGTCTAAAAAAAATTCACGCCTGGGGCCGGCCCTGGGGGCGGCGGCTGGGGGCCAACTCGCCCCCAGACCCACCTTTTGCGCCGGGTCACCCCTAGGCGGCGATTTTAGGCGGGCCAACGGCTGGAGATGCTCTCATTGAGCACCATTGGCAAAGGGTTGGACAGTAGCAAACTCATTTTGCCATTCATTTGTATTTGTATTTATATTCGGGACAAGTTTTGTATTGAATTATTTGTATTTATATTCGACGATTTGAATAATTATTTGTAATGTGGATGATTGTTGTATTGTGTTGGTATTGATAATTGGTGTGGTATTCATATTTTGCGGACCGGTGGGATGCGGTAGCAGCGGGCGCAAGAGCAGATCCCGTAAAGCCGACCTGTAAAAAGGTATATTCCGTGAATATGCTTTTTTTAGAGTCCGTTTGGGGGGGTCTACATCGGCAGCCGTCCGTGCTGGCCCGCAAAAACGTTTTTCCGCAAACTGCAAACACGTTTTGCGGGCTGGCGGGACGTGGGATCTGCTAGAGTTGCTCTTATCCTGAATTCCTGATGCTTCAGTCTGGCATTTGTCGATCAGTCGATTCTTTACTCCCTCCGATCTAAATTAATGGACGCAATCTCTATACAATGCCGTGTCCATTAATTCGGATCGAAGGGTGTACTAGATTTTGGAATTCTTTTTTCTAACAGTCTGGCATGCTTGTTGTATGGCTGGATATGCACAACCATTCTCAGTCATGCTTGCTGGCGATCCTGAGCAAAACATCACAGAGTTCCCTGGGCTTGGAGCACATGGCCATGTGGTCGGCTCCGGCGAGCTCCTCGGCTTCTGTGCCAGGGCTCAGGTCGACCATCCAGCGCTGCATCTCCTCGGAGGATGAAGCATCGTCCTTGAGCACCACGTACACCTTCTTCACCGACCCGTAGTTGGCGTCGGTGAGCAGAGCCTCGTCCCTCATCAACAGATCGTCCACGAACCGGCAGCCCGGCCTCACCAGCAACGTGGCCAGCATCAGGTCCTGCGTCCATGTTGCGAGTATGATAGTACTAGAAAGGCTGTTGGTTGGTTGACATCAAAACTCAAAAGCAGTTATTTTCTTTGTTATGTTGATGTTACCTCGACTGAGCTTCGATCGTACAATTTCGCTGCCAACAATTTGGGGCCAAGCGCGACTGCAGGCCGAGGGCCTTGATATGTGTTCAGAACCATGATCTTGCTGTCCATGAAAAAATCGGATGGGGTTCTTCTGGAGAACTAGCAAACAGTCAGGAGAAGTTAGCCATGATTGTTCACATCTGAGCTCTAAAAAACTGGCCATGTGAGCCATCGAGGGCCTTAAGCTTGATTCTGCGAGGGTTAGCCTACCTCCTCGATGGTGACGCCCATGTGCCTGCCGGCGCAGACCATGCACGCGGCGAGGAACAAGGCCGCGGCGACCTTGCGTGGGAATCTCTCCATGGCGAGCGCGAGGTTGAGCCCGCCGAGGCTGTGCCCGACCAGGACCAGCCTCTCGCCGGCCGGTGCCGCGGCCACGGCGTCGAGCAGCGGCCGCGAGTAGTCCTTGAACGACTCCACTTCGTCCATGCGCGCCGGGTGCGCGCCGGACGCGGCCATGTCGAGCGCGGTAACGCGGTGCCCGGCGGCGCGGAGCATCGGCACCAGCTTGTACCAGCACCACGCGCCGTGGCAGAGGCCGTGGACGAGGATGAAGTGCTTGCCGCCGCCGCTCCCCTCCATCGGATCTCACCTCAGCTCCTGCTTGCAGCTTGCAGATATCTTGGGCGAGGGAATCTCCTCAGTAGTAGCCAATCATGGTTTCATGTTCCTGTAGCCAACCTGAGTGAATTATCACTTTTCCAGGTGAGGAGGCGACATCAGTCGCAGCTCTTATTCCCACTCATGTCCACCTTACAATTTTGTCCATATCCATTTAAAAAATATATTTTTTAGATTCGCACATTGATGACAATGTTGTTGCCTTATGATATTTTGCTAAAGAATACTTTGCAGCTTTAAGTAAGTAAGTGGTTTTCAGAATCTGAAGTATTTTTGCAAAGGAATAGAGAAAAGAGTGGCTATCCCTTTTTTAGAGTGCCTCCTTGGTTTCAAAAACATTTCAATCGGTCACTTTCTTTCCTGACCATTAGATCGACATCTAGAGGAACTGGATTCATTTCCTCCTCGAGCCAATCATAACAAACCTGTGTGAATTAACGTTTTTTTAGGTGAGGAGTCGACATTAGTCGCAGCTCTGATTCAACTAATGTCCACCTCATAATTTTTTGTTCATATCCTTTTAAAAATATTTTGGGCACATAGGAGACCAACCCCCGATCCCATGCCCCAACTCAACTCCTTTTTGCATCATCGATGTTGCCTTGTTGGGGGTGTGGGAGATAAGTAAAAGTCATAATCGGTGTTGGACGATTTCGCCGGCGTTGATGCTTGCAGGTGTGTCGTGTTCCTTTCTCAAAGTGTTATTATAGTCCTATGCTCCTCTACTTGGTTAATGGTGAAAACCCTACTCTAGCTCTTCATATGGGCGACAAAGACGTCTTAGTGTCGCATGCTGTTGCTTAAATTGCACTGTGATATAGTAGTATGTCGGCAAGTCATGGTTTTGCCCGTGGCCTCGAGAAGAGCATCGTATCATTTGGATGTCTGCTTTGGAAGGCAATTAGATGGCACGATACGAGTGGCTTGCACGCTCGAGATATTGGTGTTGTTTGGACATGGATGACTCACAGCTCTGCCCTTCTACCAAAACTATCATTTGTTTTTACTTTGTGATTTGTTTTCTTTCTGTTAAAGTCTATGGATGTACCCTCATAAATCGTATCTATCTTTGCACATTGAGAAGTAGCTATTCTTTTTATTTTCTGTTGAAATGTGCAATATAATATACCCCAAAAGACACCTAAATAACACATCTTCGGTATATCGTACCCGAGTTTTGCATCTTATACTTCATGCATATGCCTCAAAAATTTCATTTGCCTATTATAATGCAGTAACAACATTGCCAATCTTTGGTTGTAATTTGATTATTTGAGCTCACAAGTGCAACGAATTATATAACTTACTAATTTTTACAAGTGGGGAGGATCTCAACAAGGAGATACGCAACAACCGAAGTATCACAGGCATCGTGGTCAGCAATCCCTGACCAAATACTTTTGGCTTGTTCAAACCTCAAACTTCTATGCACTCTATTCATCACTAGGGCCAACCGGCACCATTTTAGAACCACGCACAAATAGTCACAACAGTGAGAATGTATATGAGACCGGGATTCACGGACTAAACTTACCCAACTTTGTTATGTCTGGCATGTAGGCCCCACAACAAGCTGACCCACACTTTAGTCTTACAAAGTTAGGTGGGTTTTCGAAAGTCAACTTTCATTTAAGGATTCCATGTGCATTCAAATATCAAGAGTACACTGGCCATGCAACATTTTAGTACATGTGTAACAGGACGATTACAGAAGAAAATACCACCCAAAATAAACAAACTACAGTGCAATCCTTAGAGTTTCCTACCATTTTCACCTTCCTGCAAAGAATGCATGTTATGTGGAACTCGGTAACTCCCTTCCCAGAGCTTACTATAACGCGTTGGCTATGGATCTCAGTAGGATCACTTGTGAACAAATGCCAATCGCCCCATACAAATTTTGTTGCTAGATCTTTTGAATTGCCAGGGCTCTTTTTAACCCGTTGCGATACCTAACTAGGTCTTGCCTATCAGTAGGCCGGCCCAGTACTGTGGCGCCTCTAGCTTGAGTTATTTTTCTTTTTATACTACGTGTTTTTCTTATCATTTTTCTTTTTTTTTTTGTTTCTTCACCAATTTTCTATGGTCTTTTCCTACTTCTTTTTCTTTTTCACTACACATGTCTACTTTTTTTCAGTATACATGTGGAACATTTTTCCGACACACTTTGGACATGTTTGAAATACACAATTTATCCTTTTTTTTCAAATGCTTGTTTTGGTCATTCTTTCGAATACATGATAAAGAAAATACATGTCGTACACTTTTTAATGGCATTAAACTTTTTTAAAACTACCAGAACATGTTTTACATTTTTTTGAAAAATGTTACGAACATTTTTTAAAATGTGTGATTATATTTCTTTAATATGTCACGTATATTTTTATGAATGGTGCTTAAAATAAATTACAATGTGGATGATTATATACATCGTACGAATAATTTAAAATGGCACGATACATATTTTTAAACATGTGAAGAGTTTTTAAATGTCACATATATTCTTTGAATTATGTAAACATCTTTTTTGACATTGTATAAACATTTCATTTAATGTCGAGAACATTTTTTCTAATGCTGTCGACATTTTCAAAGGTCGCACGATCATTTTTACATTGCATCAACATTTTATAAATGAATATTTAATTTTTAAGATTTAAATTATCCATTTCAGAAATAAAAATAAAAGCAATAAACCAAAAAATATGCACTTGGAGCCAGCCCTCCCTGATGGGCCATTTAGGGGGGCGCCTGAGGGCAAGGGGTTCTTTCATCTCGCTATAATCGAGACAAAGCACCAGCCCTTTTCAAATCCCCTTTCCGGCAAACATTTTTGCTGATCAATAAAGCCTAGCAAGCTTTTCTCAAAAGAAATATGTGTTAGGAAACAATGCGGGCCTGTTAAGATATGTAGGACGCAACAGAGCTTTGCAAGGATTGTGACACGTGATCGACGGCCAGAAATCTGACAGGGGTGAAGAAATGTTTTCCGTTGACACAACTTTTGAATTCATTCTGGCATGTAACGCAAGCCTTTATAGATAAAGAAGGGTGAACGCAAACCTCACAGACGGATGTGCACAACCACAAAACATCGCGTACTAAGAAAATAAGTAGTAACAAACAACAAAGGTTTTCTTAAAAGGTGTACTCCCTCTTATGGTACGGAGGGTTAAAACGCTTTTGTACATTTCTTTAATACTTATATGATACGCATGCTTGTGCGTGTTTGAGAAAAAAATGTTTTTGTATTATGGGACCAACTTAACTCTCAGCGAAGATATTACGTTGTACAAGTCGCAACTGTGTGGACAATCAATTCATTCATACTTGTCGGCGATCCGGAGCAGGACATCACAGAGTTCCCTGGGTTTGGAGCACATGGCCATGTGGTCGGCTCCGGCGATCTCCTCGGCCTCCGTGCCGGGGTTCAGGTCGACCATCCAGCGCTGCATCGCCTCGGAGTTTGAGGCGTCCGCCATGGCCACCACGTACACCTTGTTCACCGACCCGTAGTTGGCGTCGGTGAGCAGAGCCTCGTCCTTCATCGTTGGGTCATCCAAGAACTGGCACCCCGGCCTCACCAGCATCGTAGCCAGCGTCTGATCCTGCATGCCGTACGTAAAACCACTGTCAGCGTCGTAATTAACATTTTGTGACGGGAAAGAATGCACTCTTGCTATTACCTCACCTGAGCTTCGATCGTACAGCTTTGCTGCCAATATTTTTGGACCAAACACGAGTGCAGGTCGAGGGCCCTGGCTCGTGTTCAGAGCCATCCGCTTCATGTCCATGAAGAAATCCGGCTTGATCCGTCTCATGATCTAGCAAGAATCGCGGGAAATCAGCATGGTCACCATGATCGATCGATTACGCTGCAGCTCCTCTGACTTCTGAGCTGTGTAAAGTTTGCTAACGCGGGACAATTACTCACCTCCTCCGTGGTGGCGCCCATGTGCCTGCCGACGCACGGCATGCACGCGGCCAGGAACACGGCCGCGGCGACCTTGCGCGGGAACCTCTCCATGGCGAGCGCGATGTTGAGCCCGCCGAGGCTGTGCCCGACCACGACCAGCCTCTCGCCGGCCGGTGCCGCGGCCACCGCGTCGAGCAGCGGCCGCGAGTAGTCCTCGAAGGACGGCACCTCGTCCATGCGCGCCGGGTGCGCGCCGGACGCGGCCATGTCGAGCGCGGTGACGCGGTGCCCCGCGGCGCGGAGCATCGGCACCAGCTTGTACCAGCACCACGCGCCGTGGCAGAGGCCGTGGACGAGCATGAAGTGCTTGCCGCTGCGGCTCCCCTCCATCGTGTTTCACCTCAGGCAAGAGTTCGAATGGCTATGCCGCCGGCGGCGAGCGGCCTGCAGATATCTTTGCCGAGGGTATCTCACCAGCATCAGCATGGGCACATGGCAAATTAGTTTTCAGTCAAAGCGAAAGCAGATTTGGATACGGCAGCTGATGGAGTCATAAGTCCACCCTACAATTCTGTCCTTTTTTCCTTAAAAAATACTCCCTCCGTTCGAAAATACTTGTCATCAAAATGGACAAAAAGAGATGTATTTAAAATTAAAATACATCTAGATACATCTCTTTTTATTCATTTTGATGACAAGTATTTCTGGACGGAGGGAGTATTACAAACATGCAGGGGAGCCGGCGGCGTGTGCCAGCGGCCGGGGTGCAGTATTGTGACAGTGTCACGGGGAGGAGCGCCTATAGTCAGGCCGCGGAGATGTAGCCATATCCATGAACCTCGTTAATAAATCTTGATGTCATGGCTCGTGTGATTGCTTGATCATCAATACATCAATTATGTGCCTCAGATTTATTCTAACAAGTGTTATCTAACATGACTAATTGTAGGGCCAGTAGTTGCCCACAAGAACCGTTTCGCTCTGTTCCAAACAACACAGGTGGCAGATCCTGCCCTTTCTTTGAACTCCAGTGGGACGCAGATCT